CTGTACCAGATGTGGAGCCTTGTTGTGAAGTGCTGAAGAAGAACTTGCTGGTTGCTTTGTCCTGTGATTTTAGCATACAGAAGTTGGCATTTTGTGAGTAGTTATTTAATAATACTCTTACTAAAAAAAGCTTTTAAAAAAGAAAACAAGACCACACCAAAGATAAGGAGCAGAGAGGATGTTAATAATATGAATACAATCTGACGGAACCAAAACACGAGAAATAAAAGAAGTTCAATCATTTCTGAAAGCTTCACAAATGAAAATATTTTTAAAAAGCTACAAAGATGGAGGTGTTGGTATTTTGATTGTAGAGAGTTCTATAGTGTGGGGGATCTAATAGCGAAAAGCCCGATCACCCTTTGTAGGCCTCCATCTGCAGATCTCAAAGAGGCCCCATTTAATGCTCTTTGCACCCTTTCCTGTAGTGTGGTATATAGGTTTGTGTGCATGTAAATGGTCAAAGCGTAGGGTCCAAAAGTTCCCTCCAGAGACAGTTTCTCTCCCACACTCAATGTTCTACTTCTGTAACATAAGAACATCACTATGTAACACTCTCTTATATTAGCTAGCCCTCAAACACATTGTACGTGATAGGCTAAGGGGTGGCGGTGGCACAACTTTTAGCAGTTGACCAATTACAATAGAGCCAGCCAATTCAGAGCAGACTGGGCTCTGGTTTGACCAAGGATGAAAGGAGGTGCTGCAGCACAGGCAGTATGAGAAAAATAAAGAGCTTTTTGAAAATTAAAGCATGAAAACATGTCACAGGAGAGGCACTAAATACAAATATGAACCCGCAAATTAGCATAATAGGGCCCCTTTAATAATCTTATTTTCACTTTTGAAGTTTGTATTCTCTGATATTTGGACATGGATTAAAACATTTTCAATGAATTCATACGTTACACGTATTGTAGCCCCATGCCAAAAATGGGGAGATGAGGCCTTCAAAGCAGAAAAGGTATTTGTATCGTCCCATAGAGGGCGTCAGGTGAATAACTCTGATGATGTGATGTATTCAAGAGAAATTTGAAACATTATTCATGTGTGATCATTTAAGAGACTGTACCAAACAAAGTTGTTTTGTTAAGTCTAAGTTTTGTTGGCAAGCATATATGTACAGCACTTAATGAATGTTCAAATCAATGTAATAAAAGGGTACAGCCTCACAGGCGGTCAAGCATGGCATTTTTTTGTTATTTCCACTTGTAGCAATCAACATTACAACACTTACAAAAGTCCTTCTTCACCCAAGAATAAAACCCATAGTGTTGGAGGTTGTGTAAAGCGTTTGTGTTGTGCATTTGCTTTCTTCTTTTGTATTTTGTTGAAGGTCTGTATGTGTTTTTGTTCGTGGGTGTAGTAATAAGCAGCTGTTGGCTAAGATATCTCAGCTTCTTGTGCTCCCACCGTGCTTGTCACTTCTCATCCATCCATGTGCAGAAACTCCAGTCTACAGACCATGAAGCGTGTTCAGTGTGAGCATGCTCAGTGCGGGGGCTCGGGAGACTTAGAAATCCAAAGTGTAGGAGGCGATGCGTTGCTGCTGCCTGCAACCAGCATGAGTTTACACTGTCGGCAAAACCTGGCCTGAGGAGATGGAAATTCAAAAGCTTTATGTACCAAGATAATTCAAATGAATGAAGGAAGTAAAAGCAAGCAAGTCAATATCATTGAAAGTGTGTTATGTCTAAAACATCTCCTTCTTGTTTATTCTATTCAAGGAATAGGCTTCACTATGGCAACAATACAGCATGCTCCCCAAGGTCATATTTAATAACGTTTTTTTATTAATACCTCCATATCACCATGGACACTGGTATTTTCTTTGGAACTGAAAATGTTCTTCTCTTCCTCTGTGCCTCCGTTTAGCTTTTTTAGCGATGTTGATCACACATGTCAGGGTATTGCTGCCAACATGATTTTAAGTTTAACACATCATGTGAAAACATCACGCATTTGATATGCTGCTAGAATCAGTCCCAGAAACATGTTTTTAAGGGATGTTAATTGTGTGTGTGGATGGCACATGTAGCCATTTTATTAAATGCTACAAGATATGGTTTGTACAGGCTCTTGGTCATGCTTGTGATGAGGGACATATTTCCTTGATGGTGCAATGGAGAGAAGACATCAGAAGCACACATGAAACCAGTAAATCATGTGTTTTGGCATTGCTACGCCTGCTAATGGTCTCCAGGGGGCAGACATGGTAACAGTGGGTGAGCAAATGAGTAACGGGTACGTTTTTTTTTTTTAACAAAGTTAAAGAGGTCCTACTTAACACTATTATGTAGTGTGTTATAGGTTTTTGTGCATGTAAATGGTCTCCAAAGGCTAAAATCCCAAAGTTCCCTCGCCCACACCTACCTAAAACGCCTCCATTGAACTCCTTTGTTTACTTCTTCAAAATAATGACATCACTATGTAATGTATGCTTATAGAAGTGCATATGTAATAGTTGCACTTCTATAAGCTAGCGCTCCAACACCTTGAACATGATAGGCTTAGGGGTGGGACATCTCTAAGCCTATTGATCAACCACAACAGAGCTGGATATCTCAAGGGTTGTTCAGTTGGAGGTTCTTTACTGATGATGTTTCTTTATATTTCATCTCCACATACATGCACTACAGCTTTGAAATGCAATGCTTTTCTAAGGATCAAACCAAAAGCTCAGTGATGTCTCGCCCCTTAGCCTATCACGTAGAAACGGGTCGGATTGCTAGCCAATAGAAGCGCGAGTGTTGCATTGTCATGTCACTAGTTAAGAAAGAAAACAGAGGAGTCCAATAGAGGTTTCAGGAGGGAGTGTGTGGGAGAGAAACTCACTTTTGGATTTTAGCTTTTGCAGACCATTTACATGCACAGATACTATAACACACTAAAGGGAAAGTAAATCACCAAAAAAGCATAATAGGGGCCCTTTAACTTTGTATTATAAAGAAGAAGGAAAAACCTACCCGCTGCCATTCTCATTTGCTCACCCGCCCACTCAGTGTGTAACCATGTCTCCCCCCTGGAGACCATTAGCAGGCGTTGCGATGTCAAAAAACCAATGACTCAGTGGTTTCATGTCTGCGTTCTTCTGATCTCTTCTCTCCATGGCACTCTCAAGTTATTTAGCCCCTCATCACAAGCATGACCGAGAGCGTGAACCATAGAAAAATCAAGAACCATATCATGCATTTAATCCGATGGGTACATGGGCCACCCACACACACACTTTCCATCCCTTCAAAACATGGCATTGCCTTTAAGGCAGTGGGGGGAGTATGTGGCAGAGAAACTCCATTTGGAGGGGACTTTAGGATCTTAGCCTTTAGAGACCATTCACATGCACAAAAATCAGGAAAGGGAAAACCCCCAAAAGCATAATATGGCTGCTTTAAATTCATACAAATCTAATGTGACTTCCTGACCGTTTCTGTGTGCAGCATACCACCAAAAAGAGTCAATAATACATGTCTGATTTTCAACCCTTCAAAAAAAAGCTACTTGAATTGCTTCTTGAAGGGGTGTTCATCCTTGTTAAAGCCCATTGTGACAAAGTAGGTTTCATTTTTTTATAATTTATGATTGAACTGTAATTATTAATATCCCACTCTCTTTTCGACACAGTGGCTAGCTGTGTTGCTATTTTTACTCCTCCTCTCTGTGAGTAAAGTGCTCCTCTCCTGGGATCCAAACAGGACTCTGCGAACAAACCACCTCGAGTCACGGAAGCTAAGGTCTTCCCTTTGCTGCTTTTTTTTTCTTCTAATGTATGTGTGACAGTAAGGATGGAACAGGGCAGTGACCTTCTGAAATGCATTGGTGGCTGTGAATGTGAGGAGATTAAATATAGACAAGGCAGAGGATGACTGGGAGGAAATAGAAGGAGGAAGCAGTGCGTCATGCTCTCCTCAAGCATTTCCCCACTTCAGTGGAGCGAAAAACAAAACCAGCAGACTGCAGGCTTACATAACCTGTGTCAGAGTAACTTTGGGGTGGAGTAGACTCTGTGTTTACGCGCGATTAATATGAGAATTTGGCACAGACCTTTCTTGTTCCGTTTCAGCAATGATAGCTCTCAGTTCAGGGGTATGCCTGATCACACCTAATAGTGACAGAAATGTGTGTTCTCTTTTATCATTGTACCCTTAAGTTATGCCATAGCAGGTAATAATAATTTTGATGATAATAGTGATTCATATTATTGTTTTAGGCAGCATTTGTACGCCTTTTTTCCAATGTGTGTATATTATTATGAATTTTTTTCCTAATATTTTTTTTAAAGAGCCATCTTGTAGCTTTTGCTAATCATTTTTTTTACTTTTTATTATAGCAAAAATAATGACATTATTATATATTTTTGTTCACGTGCTGACATTTTAATATTGCAACTGTGGCACAGTAGCACTATCTATAACACCAAACATACTTAAAATGATTTATAATCTGTTTATAGCACTGAACATTAATTTTGTTTAAAATATAAAGAAAATAAAGAAATGGGCAACACAAGTGCTAGCAAAGTTGTTGCTCTTTAATGTCGACAATACTTAGAGGAAAGTAAAAAAAGGGGTCCGAGCTGCCGTTTTTTTACCCTAGATGACTATTCCTCCAAAAATGTACAGAGAAGCCCTAAATGTGTAATCAAGACATATCAAGAACTGACAATGTATCCCTGTATATTGTAAGAACATAGTAAAATGCTGCAAATCTTTAAATAAAGCATGTGTTATCACAATGAAAAGCAGATGTTGTAATAGTTCTTAAAAAAAGGAAATATTTCCCACAGGATTCTGTGCATTAGCCTTAATCCAGAACCCACAAACCGCTTTTTTTACATCTTAAAAGAAAAACAAAGGAAGAAGAAAGAGCATTCGCCAAAATGAGAGTGAGGAGGCACAACTCAGAGGGAGGGAGGGAGGGAGGGAGCGTAGACGAGGGAGGGAGGGAGGGAGGGTAAAGTGGCGTCTTCTCTCTGCAGCACAGATCTGCTGAGAGCACCAGAAGCGAAGCAACTCCACAGACCACAGCCGCAGGGCTCCCACTGCAGCTCCGAGGGGAAACCTCACACAGAAACCTACACTGGAGGAAAAACTGCTACCTCACAGACAGAAGACAAGACAAAAGGAGAAGAAACACCTATCAGAGTGGACGGAGAGAAGAGTCAGACCTTTTTATTGGAAGAAAATAACTTTCAGGGCACACCACTTTCCCCACGTTCTACTTTCGGAATCCGTTTAATAATTTAACTTCTGCCTCATTTTGTTGAGGTCTGCGTGGAACACATTTTTGCTTTCCCAATAGTTTGACCAACAGGTCTGTATTTTAATTTCCCATCAGTACTTATTTATCTTATACTGATGGGAAGAGTTTTCTTACTGACCTGAGTGATATAGTTGAGTTAACAGGTACTCAGGTGTAAAAGCGTGGAAGAGAATACACATAAGCTATACTACAAGCTTTCATACTTTTTTCTCTACAAGGATCCCCTCAAAGGACCTGAGGATGTCGCATCACAGAAACAACTGAAGCAGATTCTTCTTGCATTTAGGATCGCTCCCCAAGCTACAGCAATATCTACTGAAAGGACACTGTGGGGACACTTTCAAGCTCAAACCTTCTTCTTTTTAAGGTTTATCGGAGGAAAAGGTGGTTCTCTGGTGAAGCCTCTTTGCCCCGTCCGCCCCCTTTTCCACCTCAGCCTCGGGATGGCTGGGTGCACCAGCCGCTGCAGGCAGGGGGTGCTCAAACTGATCCAGTCCCTGCAGAGACTCGTCTCAGGAGGCCTCACCAAAGGTATGGACGTTGTTTTTACTATTATACATATGCAGTGACTGTTAATTTGTCACCTAAATGTGCAAGTTTATTGCTTTTTTGTGCGTGTATTTGCATAGATACAAAGTGTTTTTTTAGATGGTAAGCCTACACGTAGCATTCAATAAATACTCTACTACAAGTGTGTATGTGTTGAAATCCATAAGATGTCAACTCCAACAGATACTAACCCAATTGCAGTAGTGTAAAAAACATTTACTCACTGTACTTAGGAAATAAATAAATTAAGAACCTGTGCAGTTTTTCACTTTATACTAATACATCACTTCATTTAAGAGGGAAATATTGTAAATTGTTTTCCAACACTTGTATTTCATAAAGTGAGTTTCTTCTCATTCTGCATACTGAGTAATTGTACACCTAGCGTAGTTATTTTTTAGTGTCAATAGTTTGAAAAACCTCCAATTCAAGCCTCCACTGTACCTGATTTCCCTTCCAAAAAATTTCCATTATCGTCGCACAATTGATTTATATTTGTAGAGTTGGCAAAGATTTTGATATTCCCGGGATTCAGGTTTCCTTTCCTTTTCATTGACGAGAAAATACTGTAGCCATTCAATTGGCCTTTGACACAACAGTGCCCAGGTTGTTTTTAAACTTAAAGCTAATGAAGGTACCAAAGTAGGAAAACGAAATGGAAAGATCCGTGCAGCATGTGAATGCAGCATCGGCTTTAGTTTAGGTCTGCTCTCTCTGAGTGACATTCTAGTTCAGAGATGCAGTTGTGCTCGATGTAAGATGTGAGAATGCGACATAAATCCTTCATTAAATGTGTTAATAAGAGCTTTTGGTGCCAGTCAGAGAAGATGTGTGTAACTGGGCATTTGTTTAGTTCTGGAAACTGAAGTGGTGCAACATTGTATTTGCTCATGGCTGCTATTGAACCATAAAATCAGATGAGCCATACAGAAAAGGAGGATTAGTTTCTGTTTGTATCTAGTGTATTCTTTTCTCGTGGTGAACTATATTATGTTCACCTTTTAGTGCTGAAATGAAACAGTCTTAGAAATATAATTCACTCTTCGGTTGAACATATCCCAATTCCCCAATCCCTGCACACACTGAGGCTATAACTTTTAGAATAGAATCGGAGGGATGAAACCCTCTTGAATGGTCACACATGCAGAGCACACAATGTGGCCTCTGCTTTTAACCCATCCTAGTACCAGGAGTCTAGTACTAGGAGCAGTGGGCAGCTATTGCACAGCGCTCAGGGAGCAATGGGAGTGGGGGGGGAAGGGGGGTGTCCGGTGCCTTGCTCAAGGGCACCAAGGCAGGGCAGGAGGTGAACTGGGACCTCTCCAAGTAGAAGTCCACACTCCATATGTAGGTCTGGTCGGGGACTTGAACTGGCGACCCTTCGGCTCACAGTCCAAGCCCCTACTTTTTTTTTTTTTTTTATCTTTTATTATCAAAAATAGACATTTAACATCTCATCACATACAGCATTTCTCATAATACACACATTCAATTTTTCATATCACTAGCTTAAAGGTAGTGTGTCTTTAGTTTTCTGTTCAAAGTTTAAGCACAATGCTCCCTCCTCATTCAGCTCAACTAGCCTGCTGCCATCCACAAAATCCTCGCAAAATACGTCCTTTTCCACATGTATTAGTACAAGGTTAATGTCCCTTTTTACTGTCCTCTTCAATATATGCCACACCTCTGACATTTTACCCTCGAAATGGGCAATGTTCCTCCTTATTTGGACCGCACGCCTTGCATGGCTCAGAACATAATTTAAAAGATTCACATTGCATTCATCCTTCTTCTCAATCACACCAAACAGCCACAGCTCCTTCCATTCCATTTCTCTCACATACCATTCATTCCAACATCTACTAATTAACTCTTTCATCCTTCCAAAAAAAACAACAAGCTCTTTACATTCAACAAACTCATGCAAACACGTTTCAACCTGATCCTTACACACATCACACTCTCTCTCAACAGTTGCATCAAAATGACTAATGATCAGGTTGTTAAACACCCTATTATGCCTCAACACAAAATCAAAGTGCTCACGTTCAATACTGTTCCACTTAATTTTCACATTCTCCCCACATTCTCCCGCCAGTCATACCGTTCACAACACTCATCCACACTTTTTCTGATGCAGGTCTTCTAATCACATCCCCTTTTAACCATTTATCGCATATTATTAAGGCCTGCTCTCTCCTGTCCTTTGACCTCAGCCCATTCCCATTAAAAGAGGAAATTGTCACTATTACATGTGTTATTAATGTTATTATTTTTTCCATTCTATTTATTTTTTGTCCGGACCCTTTGCAGCTCCTCCTTTCGCTTTCACCCGTCTTCTCTCCACCACTTTCTCCTTATCGTCTTTCCTCTTTGCATTTAGCCTGCTGGATTCTCTCCTCATCCCTCTGCTCTTTGTCCCAGCATTCGCCCCGCCAACGATCTTCTCCTTTATGGGCCTTGTTATCTCCACCTCCTCGTCCTCAGACTCGTTCTCCTCGTCGTCTCCTCCCTCCTCCTCCATGTCTGACACAACCGAGCTGACCTCCATTCCCTCAGCCATCTGTCCTCCACCTCCTTCTCCTTCTCCTTCTCTCCTCCCACCGATAGCTCCTCCTCCATCCTCAGGATCAGGTTCACCTTCAACGTCCGCTTCAGCCTCGGTATCAGTTTCTGCCCCCAGAATAACATCCACCACAGCCTCTGCTTCAGTCTCAGCCAAACCTTCACCACTCCTCGCAGTCTGTCCATCGTCCACAGCAGCCGGAACAGCAGCAGTATTTGCTTTGCTACTACACATGTTCCCTTCGTCTGCTTTCCCCTTCTTCCTCGCTCCATCTCCTCCACCTCCCATGGCAGCCTCATCAGCTGCCCTCTTTGCATCAGCCGCCACAAACACCGCCGCGACAGCAGCCACAGCTTCCTCGTTCATCCTGCTCCCAGCCTTATCATGTATATCCTCTTCTTCACTTTCTTCCTGACTTCCACCTTCCTCTTCCTCCATTCCATTCTCCACTTTATTTTCCACCTGTGCACTTTCTCTCCCCCTGGCTCCGCTCGCCCCCTCCTCCCGAGTCACACAGTCCCGGGCATAGTGTCCCTGTTTCGCACATTTATGGCATTTAAACTCAGGGCATTCTCTGTATAAATGCCCTGGCCTTATGCACATCCTGCAGACCGGTACTTGCTTGTCATGAATCACCCTAAAGTATTCCGGCCCCTCTAGAGTCTCGAACCTTGTGGAGTAAGGAAGTGACCGCACTTCCTTGTTGAACTCCACTCTCAAAAACCTCGTCCCATCAACCACATCAGTGCCGGGCCACATCCTTCTCTTTATTGCCGAGACAGGCAGAACCCCCCACATTGCCAATCTGCCTTTAATTGAACTGTCCAATATATACGAAGGTATATTTAAGAATGACACCGTGAGCTCTTTTGTCATGCAGTCTCTGCCCCGCACCAAAGCCCCATTTATTCGTATTCCATCCAACAGTTTATTTTTTCCTTTTTCTTCAGCCATTGTCACTTCATATAGCCCATTTCCTTTCACCCGACACCCCATCACAATTCCGCATTCTTTTTTAACTCCTTTTAGCAAATCCATAACAGTTACTGCTTTTCCACTCTCCACCGTCACCACAACTGTAAGCTCCTTTTATATTGTCCTCCTCCACATTCAACTCAAACAGCTCTCTCACCTCCTTTTGTTTTCCCACTCCTGTTTTTTCATTTTGTCCATTCGCATTTCCGTTGTCATTTTCCATTCCTTTTTCATTCACTGATGTCCCGTCTTTCTCCGTACTCTGCTGTAATTTGTCAATGTCAGTGATCTGTGACGCAGTTGATAATTCCATTCCCGTTTTCTTTGCCAGTTTATCCGTCCGATCGAAAAAAAACACACAGGTCAGGGGAAACCCCCAGCCAGCAAGGCTGTTTGGGGGTGACTCAGAACAACAACAAAAAACACAACTATAAGTTTGACGAAACAAAAGATATCCACAAAACAAACAATTCACTTATTTCCTCCTCAGACCAAAGTCACGCACGTCCGCTCACAGTCCAAGCCCCTACTGACTGAGCCACTGCCGGAATAAGACATTATGAATTAAACTATACTAATGTTGCGTCACTGTTTAGAAACACTGCTATAATTTGACTTGCATAAGAAAAAAGGTTTGTTGGGTTAGCCTATGGTGTACACCCCTTAGGGCAACAGTTGCGGTCAGGGCCGCCCCTCCCTACAGGCCAATCACGCAGGCTGCATGGGGCCCCGCCTTGCGCAGGGGGCCCCGCCCAGAGGGCCTCAGCTGCTGTGCGCAGTTCTCCGCGCACCCCCGGCTGACACGCGAGAGTGAGAGGTGACTTAAGGGGAGCACGTCTGTAACCCGACACCGTTGCAATGAATCGACATCTGACCAATCACGGCTTTGATACGGCCACTAGTGCAGGTGAAGAGATGTCGGTTAAAAGACAGTTTCAGTCCGGCACAAGCAAGAGGGGAAAAAACAAAACATGAAGAAACTAGAGCATCACTCGAAGGTGGGTTATTGTATGAGTCAAATGTACAACTTGCGAATGTTGTATAAGTCAAATTGCCAATTGCCATATTAAAACATCAGCTGCTATTCACGACATGAAGAAGGCAGTCTCTGCATAGCATATACTGTAGGCTAATGGAGATGCAGTTATTTCCAGCATTCTTTATTTAACATTCATTCAAGTATGTTATGCCTTTTATCTGCTAATGTACAGGAGGAAGAGTGATAAACTGTCTGTCTAGTTGGCTTACATAACAGTTAAAGTTTACAGCCTAAAAAACATGGAGCATTTTTCCCCCTTATATTCATTTTTATGTCAATTTGCACATTTCATGGTGATGCTCAGCCTCTCCCCTTAACTCCTAACAGTCATCATCATGGTGACACTCAGCCTCTCCCTTTAACTCCTAACAGTCATCATCATGTCAACCACAACACAGAGAA